CCCCAAAACCCCAAAACCCCAAAACCCCAAAACCCCAAAACCCCTTTAAATCCCAGTATTGTTGAATTCATAAATTAATCAGTCTAGTCATGAAGAGTCATTTGGTCTCTTTTAAAGATCATCGATGCAGGAGTATCATTCTCTTTATCTCTTTCCTTGCATTCTTCGTCAAGGTATTCATCTCTTTCTTGGTTATCATCTCTGAAGATTACGTTATTCTCATTTGGGACTGAATTGGCTTCACGATCGCCTTTCTTGTTCCATTTATGGCCTGGTGGGTATGGGTTAATTCCGTTCATCATATTTTCAACTTTGTTGAATAACGATGCTCTGTGAGGCTTCTTATCTTCAGGGAGTTCATCTCTATCAACCATTGGGGGCTCTTCAAAAGTTGCAGTTCTTTTAAACCAGTGTTTCCAGCTTTCTCTTGGGTCGATTACCTTATCTCTTTCTGTTTCTTGCTGTTCTCTAAGTTTGACCTTTTGGAAAAATACATTATTTATCATTAACTTCAATTTCTTCCCTCAAATATTGAATGAAAACATCAAGATCAAATTCTGTAGCAACTCTATCTAGATAGTACTCTTCATTTTTAGGATCTAAGCCACTTTTCTTCAACATCAAGGCTGCTTCATAGCTCACTCTCTCAATTGCAATGTCAAGGGCGTTATCTCCTTCATCATTTGTAACAGTCACATCAGCTCCTTTAGTAAGTAAGAATTCGAGCATTTCGAGGTTATTCCTCCAAGCAGCCCACATCAACGGAGTATTGCCACTCTTTGCTGCTGGTGCATTTATGTCTGCACCATATTGCAGAAACAAGTCTGCCATTTCTTTCTTGCCTAAATAAGTTGCTCTACATAAGGCAGTAGTGTTCCCACTGCTCATAGGGTAATTCGCCGAGCCAGGATACTTCTCAAGTATCATTCTAGCTCTTTCTAGATCATCTTTACGGATGGACGCATGAAGGTTCTTGGCAACTTTTGTTTTAACTGCTCCCATGATTCTTAGTTTGAAATTAAATATTATTGCAGAGAACGGGGTTTTGGGGTTTTGGGGTTTTGGGGTTTTGGGGTTTTGGGG